TTTGCCAGTGTGTTCCCCAGCAGGTTCCACCTCAGGACCGCAGTTTCAACCCTCACGCACGTCTGGGCCCCTCGTACGGGCACGTGAAAATTTTGGCGCGAAAATCGCTAACTTGGAAACGAGAAAAGCTAGGGAGCTGGATCCTTGGGAGAATGTTCCCTACCCATGTATGACAAAAAGTTTTCAAATTCAGCTCCTTAGGACCGCCAAGGGCTCACGTACAGGCACGTGAAAATTTTTGGCGCGAAAATTTCTAACCAGGGAATTAGAAAAGCTAGGAAGCTGAAACTTTGAGGGAATGTTCCCTACACATGTACGAGCAAAATCAGATGTTTAGAAGCGCCCGAGCCCACATACGAGCGCGCGGAAATTTTGGCGCGAAAATTACTAGCCCGGGAACGGGAAAAGCTAAAAAGCTGAAACTTTAAGGGAATGTTCCCCACTCATGTACGAACAAAATCAGGTGTTTGGAAGCGCCCGAGCCCAAGTACGCGCGTGGAAATTTTGGCGCGAAAGTTACTAACCCTGGAATGGGAAGAGCTAGAAAGCTGAAACTTTCGGGGGATGTTTTCTGCTCATGTACGACCAAGATCAGGTGTTTGGAAGCGCCCGTCCCCACATACGAAAGCGTGGAAATTTTGGCGCGAAAATTACTAGCTCGGGAACGGGAAAAGCTAGAAAGCTGAAACTTTAGGGCAATGTTCCCTACTCGTGTATGACCAAAAGATTTTAAACTCATCTCCTTAAAACCGTCCACCACTCATGTACGGACACGTGAAAATTTTGATAGGAAAACTGCTAACTCGGAAACGGGAAAAGCTGAATGCTTTAATTTTAAGGGAATGTCTTCTGCTCCTGTGCAACTAAAAGATTTTAAAATTAACTTTTCTTGCGTGGCCTTTTTTTGTGGACCAACAACTTTCCATTTGTCGGGTCACTGAAGTCGACACCTACAACTGACATACCACATAGTTACACAATTAACATCTCCAAAATTCGAGGACCAGTATTTCACAGGGTTAGTTACTTTGATTCCTTGCGATCTTACTACAGCACGAAAAGTGCAAAAAAGCATAATCGCACCGGCCCGCCTGGTGCGTCCCAGCCTGGGTTTTTACAATGACTCCCAATCCATGCCCAAAAAATTCAACTCTCTAGATGCTTCGATTGCAGAGTGACGTTAAATTTCACGCGTCCGTAAATGAGTGGCAATACGAGTGGCTGCTCAAACACGGTCCTGGGTAACGCTCAGAAAGTTTTAGCGCTCAAGCTGCCCTCGTTTCAAATTTCACGTGTTCGTACGTTAGTGGTAACGTGAATGCCTTCTTCGCCTGCGGCTGCTCAAACGCGGTCCTGGGTAGCGCTCAGAAATTTTCAGTACCCAAGCTGCTGTGTTTGCAGAGATAGTCAAATTTTACGTGTTCGTACGTGAGTGGTGAAGTGAATGCTTTCTTCACATGCGGTTACTCAAATACGGTCCTGGGTAACGCTCAGAAAGTTCCAGCACTCCAGTTGCTCTGGTTGTGGAGTTACGTCAAATTTCACGTCTGTATATGTGAGGAGTACGTGAGACGTGTAAAGATGTGTAAGTTGTTTCTGCGCCCGTCTGGTCAAAGGCCACCGTTGGTTATACTCAGGAAGTTCCAGTCCTCTGGCTACTTCAGTTCGGAAGCTGGAAAAGTACATGCGTGAAATTTTCATTTGTTCGGGGCTGGACAACTCAATTTACTTTCACAGGCACAGCAGTGGGCAACAAATAACGCTGCAAAATTGCAGCTCTCTACAAATTCTTGTTCAGCTTAAATCTGGAGTTGCCGTGGCGCCAGTTTAAACTTTGACGTGTGCGTGCGTGAGTCCTAAAAGTGCGTGGAAGGCTGAATTTAAAGTCGTTGGATTAGACGCGGCCAAGGAAAATCTCCTTGAAGTTCCTGCCTCCTAGCTTTTGTCGTCCCCGAAAACGCTTTCCTGCCAAAAAAATGTCAGTTTTGAGGATAGGAGCCCGCAAGTATGTGTAGATTAAGTTACCAAAGTTTCACTCTTGTAGCTTTTATGGATCTCGAGATGAAAATTCGTTATAGACACACACACACAGACACACACACATACACACAGACAACCTCTCGACAATACGCCTTTTTACATTGCATATCTGCAAAAAACACACAAAAACCAGGACGAGACCTCATCAGCTTGGTTTGGTCAACAGCTCACTATAAAAATTTACGATCCTGAGCCAGCGCCGATGCCCATCTGTTCTTAGCATATAAACGTCAGTT